TCAAATCATTTCATTAAAATTAATTATTATGTACTGAGGGTTTTCGATATTGCTAGACCCATCTCTACGTAATGGCAAGATGTCGAGTGACACTAGCGCCGTCAACTTCAATAGAAGTAAACCTGTGACGTCGTAAGCGCTTAGGCGTCAAGGTCATTGTGTCATAGTTCCGGGCGACGCGTGCACGCACATTTTTCTTTCCCAGTGCAGTGCAAAATGACCGAATATGATTCGGATGAGTATTAGGTAGGTATAGTATAGTATTATATAGTATAGTATTAGTAATAGGTATTTTATGACTACCTAATATCCATCAAACGTGCCAGTTTTTCATTTGCATTAAATGAAAAATAAGCTATTAAAGTTTAGTACATCTGTATTAAAATAGTTACTTTCCATCCATTTCCAAAACTACACATATGTTGCCACTTTTAATCACTACAAACAATGTTCCTGATCGTGACCTGACGTTAGATTTTAAATGTAAACTAAAACCAAAAGCAAACCAAACTCGATAGAAAGAAAGAAAAGCATAGACAACTATTCCTTACGAAATGTATCGTGCTTTGAACGCCAATGACTTGATATGAAGTAAACAGACTACGTTATGAAATGAATAGTGAAGTGGCTAATGTTACGAATTATTATTATTATCTCTAGCAACTCTATGCATGTATCTTCATCTCTGATAACGGATACCCATTTTTCTTAGTATAAATGTTCATAAAATAAAACAAATTACCATTATAACTTAACAGTTTGTATTTTTAATTGTAAATTTGAGTACCAATTTAAATTTACACATATTTTTTTTCATTATCGACATGATGTTACCGCCATCCCTACTTTCGTACTATACATTTATTATACATTTATACGTTGGCGTACGGCGACACATCGTGTTTAGTATAGCTGGGCGGCGAAAAGGAATAATCTACCAGACGGACATGAAAATAGAATTTAGGATACTATTGTATGTTTGTAAACGCACCCACGACACAGGAGAAAATCCTAGTATGGGGTAATGTTTTTAAAGGTAAAAAATAATGAATAAAACACAAAAATATCTAAGTACAGCCTTATTTAATATTCTTATTACATACAAATTAATCACGCACTCATATTTTTATATAAATTTCGATATAGATACATCTATTTCTACTTTCTAATACATAGCAGTTTTAACTATAGGCAGCACCTTACAATTTGAATTATTTTACAAGGACAGGAAATTGACAATTTAAGAAAATACACATAGAAAAGATAATTTTGAAAAATTTTATAACATTTGTGAGACATATAGTAAATTAATTATTATGTTCTCGGCTTACTCACGTAACTTTTTGACGAGGAACTCGACTAGTTTCAAGCCATGTTAAGCAGTGTGACAGTTGCCGCGGGTCGCGGAATGCTGCTTATGAATATGAGCCTCTAGAATGGCTTGAAACTAGTCGATTACCTCGAACAGTGACGTGAGCAAGCCGAAAACATTATAATTAACTATGAAAACGATAATAAATACTTGAAGACTTAGAAAATTCTCAGGGAATGAAAAAATGTGATTATTGCAGTATAAAAACAGCAAAATTATGTGTATTTACATATATTTGAGACAAACATTTAGTATTTAAGTAAACATACCGTTGAATAGATATTCACAGATAAGTAATACATTTCTTATTATTATAAAACTAAGACTAAAAGCCATTTTTGTGTACAGAATCTTATTTTATTAATACAAAATCATTTTAGACGTCACTTCTACCAAAAACACTTTTTTAATAAATATTTTCAACGGATCATGAGCAAATTGAAAGAAATTTTGTAAATACCTAGTATCCATCTGTATGTAAAAATAAATTGCCGTTCGTTAGTGTCGCTAAAACTAGAAAACGACTGGACCGATTTGATTAATCTGTAGAAGACCAAGAATGGTTTAAATTAAAAGGTGAGAAAATAATGTTAAAGTTCGAGGCGGCACGAAGATTGTCGGGTCACCGAGTAATAGTAATATATTAATAAAATAAGATCCTATACACTTTAAAGTCAAATTCTACACATCAATTTGTATTTACTCGAAAAAGTATCTAGTAAATATTTATATCTAGATTTTAGACAATCTAAACGCCCTTACTACGTTGTATTAAGGGTTATATTACTAGCCTTAAAATTAGCTATTTTTACTAAATAGACGATATTATGAATTGGGGTAGAAAGAGACTAAACATCACGCCATTTATATTTTAAAATAATAGACAGAAAATTATCTAAATTTGAAGAAGAATATTAAGACTATAATTTAACGCTACTAAAGAACTGAAAACAACAATAAAATTATGAAATCATAAAAAAGTTTGTTAGGTCAGGTCAATTACTCAAAAACTGTTGGACGGATTTTGATGAAACTTCGCATAGATATAAGTCAAAACCTGATAATAGAATATTGACTAAGGCATTAGAAAAGAAGTAATCAGCTGTCGAAACAAAAATGCTAAAAGAATGTTAGTTCAAAATATTAAAGATGTTTTTGTCAAATCCACCCCAACTCATTCAAAGCATTAAAAAGAAAAATCCTTTAAAAAAATAAAGGAAAAAAATAACAAAACAAAAACCTTATAAACAATAATGATTTACTTTCTAATTATATTAGTACAAAATTGTGATTTAGGATTTTTGTAAAAAAATATAATTATATTACCTTTGTAATTTGTTTAGCAGTAAAAATATGATTCTTTACTTTAATAGACTTATTAAAGTTAATATAACAAACTTACGTTTTATAATAGATAGAAAGAGGTGCACAAACATATAATTATTATATAGTTATATGGAACATCATCTTTCATCAGTTATCTCATTGTATCACACTCTGTGCTAATTATTACTGAGAATTTCAATAAAATGAAAGAGACAGTAACATTTTGCCTGGCCTGCGAATCGAACTGGAGACCTCATAACCAGCTGTATCGCAGCCAATCATTAGTCGAAACAGTTTGCTGGACTTCCAAACTACGATTTTATAATAATTGTGATTTTTCTATTTCCAATTACAATGTATTTGGACATCATAAACTTAAGTTACTTATAGACACAAAAATTGTGCAAAATACATAACATAACGCATTTTAATCCACAATAGGATTAGCAGAGATGCACAAATTAAATGTAGCACCTAAATATTCACCAGTTTTGAATCGACTTTTTATGAACTGGATACTGTAAAACTACTTAGAAAGAAATCGAACCCGCGATTATGTGATTGGCAGTTTACTATCAACCATGAGACGATAGCAATAACATAAAAATAATAATAACATTACGTTTCATAAACTCGGAAAGGTTAGAGCGAGGTACGTACATATACAGAGTGTAAGCAGGACGCTACAGAAAACGCTAAAAAATGTGAATTATTCCTTTGAGTACCGTCATTATAGACACAATTAAAGAACAATAAGTTGCGGTCACCGCTGTCCTCGCGGTGTTTGACAGTTTAATCGTTTTTGTTTAAAGGCCGTTCAAGTATTACGTAAGCACCATGAAGGGTGTCTCTGTTTTGCTTATTTCGGATGATATGGGGGGTAGATGATAATTACGTCATCGGTAGTTATTTACTTTTTTACACGAATAGCAACCCTCATATTGAAATTATAAATTACAAGCAAAGATCGACAAAGAACTAGACATTATATTATTTAAGAGCATATTAAAATTACTATATCTATAAAAGAGATATAATTTAAAATGTTTACATAAGCAAAGGGGGAGGGGGTAAGATCTTTGCTTACTTTTGCTGACAAGGGGGATGGGGGTGGGTAAAATAATTGTAAAAAATCAGCTTACATAATATTTGGACGGCCTCTAAGGACCCTTTTCACCAACGAAACTGATCACGATTACACCTAACAAAACTGATTTAAAGCGTCTAATCGAATTTAAAGCGTTTAAACGAAGTTACAGCTTCATTTTACATTTCACCGCTACAAACAGAAACTAGTTTACACGGAACTCAGTACAGAAAACACAGAACACAGAACTTAGGTTACTTTAAACTTAGGTTACGTGTAACTGAGTTTTTACAGAGCTTGGTGAAAAGGGACCTAAATGTTATTTATGCAACATCAGCCTTATGAACTGTTGATTTATAACTATTATTACATTAGCTACTTTCTCGCGATTTCACCCGCTCTGCTCGGTGCCTATTAATCATAGCGTGATATTTTATATCCTATAGCCTTTCTCAATAAATGCAATATACAGCACGAAAATAATTTATAAAATCGGTTGAGTAATTTCTAAGGTTAGCGCGTTCAAACAAACTAACTCATCAGCTTTATATAATAAAGTCTTCTATTACATACATAACTTCACGCCTTTTATCCCCGAAGTGGTAGGCATTACGGCATTTAATGCCAGTACAATGTAACACCCACTTTTCACTATTAATATTATGAGTCCCATGTAATAGGGGGTGAGTCTATTGCTATATACCGGCCACAATTCCAGACTCCGTGTTACAATCTAATGTATATTAGGGGATATACATCCTGAAAAAACGGGATTGCGCGTACGCAGTCGTGGGCGAAGCTGGTATAAGATAAAAGAAACATTTAATTCTTTACTTTTATGATAAATAAATCTAATTCTTCAGCGTTTTCAGGAGCGTTCCGATTTCACTCTGTTTACAATGTAACATCTTCTTTTAGCCTTTATAGCCTTTAAAAATAAAAAATAAAATATTTGTGATGTCAAACTAAACATAACCTTGTCCTTAGGGACCTAGTAAACATAACGCCTTGTCCTTAGGGAGTCCCTAGGCAGGGGTGTATTACAGTCAAAATTAGTCAGAAACAAAAATTAAAAATTACATCTGTGTGATCCACAGATTGTTGTTCCGGGTCTGGGTGTGATGTGTATGTGAACTTGTGTGTTTGTAAACGCACTCACGACACTGGAGAAAATTCTAGTGTCGGGCCATGTTATAAAAACACATCTGAGGATAAGTCAGCTTATATAATTATACCAAATCGCAACAACTTCTGTGAACCATGATCTACAGCAGTAGTAACCATGAAAACACCGAAATACTGTAATCACGCGCTTCTTACGGACATAAAAACATACGTTTCTAACTCTATTCTACATTTCTACAACCGAAAAAAAAAGAATAAAAAAAACAAAGTGCGAAAATACTACACCGAAAAAGAGTTCCACTTTCACAAGCTAGATGGCGCTGTCCTACAATTAGGTGCGAAGAAGAAGAAATACACACATATGTTTTAACATATCACTTTTACGATGAAATAGTTTGGATAATTCACTAGTGTTCATTTGATATATTCACGCCGCGTATCGGTACGGTGTCGGCAGGAGCATCAGGCGCCCACTTTGTTTCTTCGCTTGTTCAGTAGGGAATTATTGCTTTGTTCCAACGCTTTGATTTGTACCTGTAATGAAAATGTTTGAAGATTAGATTTACTGTATCTATTAGAAGAATATTATAATTGTTTACATACGTACACACGGCCACACATCAATCTATACAAAACCAGTTTATCCTGGTGTCGCGTCGCATCATCTTTCCGCACATTTAACGTTCAGTTTATACTGGTTATGTAAAGCTCGATGTGTAGCCGTATGTACAATGACTATATAACTACTATAAAACACTTAATTTCACAAATCGTTAACGTAAGACTGCTACAAATATGAAAAAAACCCAGTGAATTTGCCGGATTCAGAAATCGAATCTGAGCCAAAAATATTTTAGCTTTTTAGCATAGACGAAATGTGCAAAAGAGACAAAAATACACAACAAATTGTTAGAAAACATGCACAATTTTATATACGGATAAACTTCACAAAATTTATATGAAATAACGTTATCCTTACTAATATTATAAATCGGAAAGTGAGTTTGTTTGTTTCACTTTCGCGCCGTAACTACTAAACCGATTGCTTTGAATTTTTGCAGACGTGAAGTTAGAAGTCTGGATTAAATAATAGGGTACTTTTTATCCTGGAAAATGTGATATTCTCGAGGGAAAACGAAATTATTAGTATAGATGGCGCTGTGTGTATTCGTATAATGTCACATAGGCTACTTTTATCCTTTTGTGACGCGAGCGAAGCCGCGGGTAAAAGCTAGTAATTTATATAACACAATGACATGCGTTTACACACACATAAAAAGTCAGAGTAGAAATTGTTTAAACAAATAATTTACATTATTACAGTGCTCATTTACTTATTACATTGGTAACTTGAATTAATAAACACCGAGAATACGAATGTAATTTTTGTGTGAGACAGCCATGCTTCGGCACGAATGGAAAAACGAATGAAAACGACCGCAGTAATACCATAGGCTAATAAAAAAACCGACGTGAAACAACGCTTGTGTTATGTTTCGTCGTGTGAGTGAGGTTACCGGAAGCCCAGAAGCATTACCCGTGCCGAAGCATGTCTCTCCCACACTTAGAACCTCTGATGTTTATTTTTGTTTTTATTTATATATTACTAGCTTTTACCCGCGGCTTCGCTCGCGTCACAAAAGGATAAAAAGTAGCCTATGTGACATATACCAATACAGACCAATACATACAGCGCCATCTATACCAATAGTTTTGTTTTCTCTCGGGAATATCAATTTTTCCGGGATAAAAAGTACCCTATTATTTAATCCAGACTTCTAACTTTACGTCTAACTAGTTACGGCGTGAAATCGGAACAAACAAACAAACAAACAAACTCACTTTCCGATTTATAATATTAGTAAGGATTTTTTTCATTTTTGTCTACACCTCCATGCACAGGCATGCAATGTGCCGAATAAATGTTTTTCTTTCTTACTATAAAATGGTCACCCATCCAAAACCCGACCTCGGAACCTTGCTTAACCCTATTAGAAAAAGACAGGGAATTAACACTCGCCGTCACCTGATCGTAATCCACGCGCATGGTGGCGAGGGAGCGAGTCATCTCATCCTGGACATCTGCCCAGACCTCTCCACTCTCGCGGAGTAAAGTGTGGGTGTACAGAGGCGTTTGTGGGACTTGAGTGAACTGACGGATCCATGGGCTTGACATTACCTGCGGGGACAAAATAAATCATTAATAAATATAAAATTAACTTTTTTCAGTCTACAAAATTAATGTATAAGAGTAAATTTCAAAATTAATGAAATAATTTACAGTCATCATAATTTTTTATATAATAGATATTTGCACGCCATGATAAATGGCAGACATGTCGTAAGCCACTTTTCTCTAAGATCTTGCATGCTGTATTATTTTAATTCTGTATGCACACACATGTTTGAGCAAATACATTTTTTTATTCTTATTCTTATTCAAAAACAGGTCAATACTTTAACCGTGTTGTAATTTGAATAAAAGATCTTGTATTAATATTGTTTGGTGGTGGCCCGGAGGTTTAAGACGCCCGCTTCTCATGAATGAGGGGTCGAAACCAACCAACGGCAAGTACCAATCTGACTTTCTCCGAGTTATATGTACTTTCTAAGATTATTTAGACACCACTGACAAACGGTGAAGGAAAACATCGTGAGGAAACCTGGACTTATAATTTCTAATTATAAGTTTGAAATTTAAAAGGTATTAATAATATACTAATATATTAACCGGCTTTAAAAAAAGAGGGGGCTGAAGTCGGTTGTTTTAATGTAGTTTATAAAAGAATATTATTAATTAAATATATTTTTCTAAACGTTGCTCGTTTAACACTCGATTTTCTCCTGTGTCGTGGGTGCGTTAACAAACATACAAGTTCACATACACATGACACACAGACCCGGTACAACAATTTATGGATCACACAAAGAGTTGTTCTGGAATTCCGTATATTCTTTAAAATAAGATTTTCTTAGATGATCAAGGCTTCTCAGTTTTTTTAATAGTAGGGTTTTTGAAATGAGTCTATTAAAAATAAACTGTATTTTATTACACTCAAAATTTATTTCTCATGTACTTACTTGTTGAATAGTCAATCGTTTAGCGGGGTCGACAGACAGCATGCCTCGGATGAGATTCTTAGCCTCAGCAGACACGTTGGACCACTCCGGCTCAGGGAAGTCATACTGCCCTAGTCTGATACGCTGAAATATTAAAAATTAACATTTAATTTACACACTCATACAATACAAATAATAGTGGTGACAATCTTTATATCGGCCAAAGGGTCTCATGGTTGCGAGACGATCTCCGGCCACCGTAAGCGCGGGCCTGCGGACGGCGAGCATGGGTGGCTCCCCGTCCGACCAGAAACAGACCTGAGCGTACGGCGCCGAGCGTTCCGCGCGCGCCTCAAAGAGCCATCAGACCACCACAGATGGGGCCCAATAGGGCCGATGCCGATTCGGAGTCGCGGAGAACCTAACGTGTAACCGAGGCTTCGACTCGACGTGCAGAAGAAGGAACGGGGTGGTTTTTAGTCAGTAAGAGTCTGACACTCCCTCCCGCCTCACCCAGGCGGGAGCGGTCATTCGAATATTTTCCACCCTTAAAAAAAAGGGGGTCTCACGTTCAATTCCTGAGTCAGGGAACAAGTATTGGGTTTTTGTTTTTTGTTGAACTCTTAGGAAACAAAGCAAACAGTAGCAACTGTCGTACAACTTGTCGCGTGTTCGATTCCCGGACGGAACAAATCTTTGTGTTAATCATTGAGTCTAGGTATGATGTGTATGTGAATTTATATATTGGTAAACTCGCTTTAAGAATTTTCTATTCACTTGTAAAAATAAACCTCAATGGAATTCGTTAAGAAATATTTGAGTTTACTGCAAACATACACGATGTGGATTTTATTTCTATAATGAGCAAGGATATGGCTTAAGAAGCTACCTTTTTCATCCCTGGAGATATAGCAAGTCCATGGTTGGAGTAGAATGGTGGGAAGCCACATAGAAGAATATACATCACCACTCCAAGAGACCAGATGTCGCAGGACTTGTCGTATTTCTCTGGGCCTAGGACCTGGAACATCAAGTTAATTGTGTTGCTAAGTGTGGGAGAGCCGGCTCGACCGGAGTGATACCACGGCCTCACAGAAAACCGACGTGAAGCAACGCTTGCGTTGTGTTTCGTCGTGTGAGTGAGGTTACCGGAGGCCCAATTACTTTCCCCTTCCCCAATCTCCCCAATCCCTGAATCCCCAACGATCCTCAAACTCCTAATCCCCAAAAGTTCGGTAACGCACATGTGTTCACACCTTTGGTGTTTCAGGTGTCCATGGGTGACGCCGATTGCTTACCATCAGGTGATCCGTCTGCTCGTTTAAAATGAGCTATTTTTTTTTGTGATAGCTAGCACCCATTTCATATCTCAAATTGTAAACCGATTTTCTCTACCAAGAACTCCCCAGGTGTGGGACTTCCATGAAGGTGTGCCATTGTGGTGCAAAATAATGAAAACTGTGTTAATTAAACCATTGATTTTCATCATGACTATGAGCCCTAACATAGTTTGAAACTAGTCCAGTTACCTCGAACAGTTACGATTAATTTAATATCCTTTATTAAAAAACAATGCTGCCTCGTTGGCCGAGTGGTCGCAAGTGCGACTGCCGGGCAAGGGGTCTCGGTTCGATTCTCGGGTCGAGCAAAGTATTACTGGGTTTTAAAAAAAATCTCAGTAGTAGCACGGAGTCTGGAATTGTGCCCGGTATATGGCAATAGGCTCACCCCCAATTACATGGGACTCATACATAAATAGTGAAAAGTGGGTGTTACATTGTACAGTGGGATGAAAGGCGTGATGTTATGTATATATTTTCTTACCTCAGGAGCGACATAGTAAGGAGTATAGCACGGCGTCTGCAGGGTATCAGCAGGAGTCAAGGTTTCTTTAGCGAAACCAAAGTCGGTGAGTTTAAGTACAGCATTGGGTTGGGTGCTGGAGTACAGCAAGTTCTCTGGTTTGATGTCCCGGTGAGCAATGTTTGAGTCGTGGAGGTGACGAACTGCTACGCAAATTGAGTGCATTATCTGTGGAAATAATTTTAAAAGAGGTTTTAATGTTTGTGTTATTGATACCATTCTTAAAAGATACACTTTACTGTTTTTATATGATTTCCTATTCCCGTCTCTCCCAGTAGTGAACAATCTTGAATTTTGAATTGGACAAAGCCTGGGTTGGAGAAATTGTTAGTTTCTTAACGATTTTTCAAAATTTTCAAATTTGACACTCCCTTCCGCCTCACCCAGGCGGGAGAAGTCAATCGATGATTTTCCCCCCTTAAAAAAAAACCATAAACAAATTTAATAACTTACTTCAGCAGCCTGTCGTTCAGTGAACGCTCCTTCTCTGTTATCCTGTATTCTCTGGAAAAGCTCCCCTCCGTCCATGCATTCCATAACGACCAGGAGACAGCCACGGCCTCCATACGAGTTCTCGTACACGTCTATAACCTGAAAATATTAAAGAAGCAAGTTAAAACTAGAACAAAGTTGAAGTTAAATCAATTTTTACATAACTCAAGCCTTTCATCCTCGAAGGGGTAGGCAGAGGTGCACATTATAGCACTGTACAATGTAATACCCACTTTTCACTATTTGTGTTATGACTCATAACATAACATAACATCACGCCTTTTATCCCCGAAAGGGTAGGCAGAGGTGCATATTACTGCATTTAATGCCACTGTAATGTAACACCCACTTTTCACTATTTATGTTATGAGTCCCATGTAATAGGCGGTGAGCCTATTGCTATATACCGGGCACAATTCCAGACTCCATGCTACTACTGAGAATTAAAAAAAAAACCCAGTAATACATTACCCGACCTGGGAATCGAACCCGTGACACCTTACTCGGCCAACGTGACAGTCTTTTATAATTACTTCACTACATGAGACTCATAACATAAAGTAGTAAAAAGTCAGTGTTACATGGTACAGTGACATTAAGTGCCGTAATGTGCACCTATTACCCATTCGGAGATAAAAGGCGTGATGTTATGTGGAATTACAAACGCGAAATAATATACATAGTTCATTTATGTATCATCAATATATATGACGTATCATTATTATAATATTATGATATTGCAAATTGTAATGTTGATAAGAAGCTGTATCAATGCTCTGTGCTCGTATTAAACTTCAAAGTGTATGACATACAAGTTCAATGAATGATAGTCACATGTCATAGTGTAATTGAATAACTTCACAATCATTATATGAAACAAATATGTATGTGTATTTATTATCTAAGGTATTTTTCTCAATGCCGTAATTTGTTTATGTTAAAACTTTGGTGAGACATACATAACATAACATCACGCCTTTTATCCTCGAAGGGGTAGGCGGAGGTGTACATTACGGCACTTAATGCTATTGTACAATGTAACACCCAGTTTTCACTATTTATATTATGAGTCCCATGTAATAGGGGGTGAGCCTATTGCCATATCATCATCATCATCAACAGCCTATAAATGCCCACTGCTGAGCAAAGCCTCTTCTCACACAGAGAAGGTTAGAGCATTAATCACCACGCTTGCTCAATGCGGGTTGGCGATTTCAAACTTATAATTAGAAATTATAAGTCCAGGTTTCCTCACGATGTTTTTCCTTCACCGTTTGTCAGTGGTGTCTAAATAATCTTAGAAAGTACATATAACTCGGAAAAAGTCACATTGGTACTTGCCGTTGGTAGGTTTTGAACCCGCACCCTCATGCATGAGAAGTGGGCCTCTTAAACCTCCGGGCCACCACGACATTTTTTATTGCCATATACCAGGCACATTTCCAGCCTCCGTGCTACTACTGAGATTTTTAAAAACTCAGTAATTCTTTGTTAGACATACTAAATCAATTATTATATTCGAAAGTCGAGGAAGGAGGACGTTCGAGTTCCTCGTCAAACGGTTACGTGAGTAAGCCGAAAACATAATAAAAAGCCATTATTTGTTTAAAAAAAAACTAGAAGTGGTCCAGACTCCGTCCTACTATTGACATTTAAAAAAACCCAATAATACTCTGCCTGACCTGGGTATTGAACCCGAGACCCCTTGCCCAGCAGGTGCACTTGCGATTACTCAGTCAATAAGACAGTCATCCCGCTCACTGCGATCCAGTCTTTGTTAAAAGTCATATAGTCTTCTGCTCTGATGATACCTTCGGGAAGAAGTTTTTTTTTACACTTTATAGGTCGACGTTTGACCACCATCTCGCCTGATGGTAAGGGATGATGCAGCCGACGATGGAGCACGCCTACCTATGAGCAACCTGTTCACTCGGGACTTGAATACACCCAAGTCATATTTGACGGGAAACACAGCCTCTGGCAAGGAATTCCATTCCTTAGCGGTTCGCATGAGGAAGCTTGACGCGAAACGCTTCGTTCGAATGGGTGGAATGTCCACCATATAAGGGTGACGCCCCGCCATTCGTCTGGTGTTACGGTGGTGAAATGGACTAGGGGGAATAAGTTTGTGTAATTCCCACGCACAATCACCGAAATGTATCCGATAGAAGATCGAAAGGCTGGTGATTTTGCGCCTGTGTTCGAGGCTTTGTAGCCGAGCCTCCACAAGCGACGCGGTGACACATGTATAGCTTGGTGGATTAAGCTGCCTTAACATCATCATTACATCAGTTACAAGACAGCTACGACTGCTGAACATAGGCCTCTTCAAATCAGATTCACCAGAAAGTCATTACCGGTTAAACGATCTGCACCCAGCCGACCAAAAAGGTAAATTAAACTATTTTTGCGATGGGATCACGGGACAATTTCCAGCCACCGTAAGCACGAGCCTGCGGGCAGCGAGCATGGGTAGCTCACCGCTCGACCAGAACCAGACCCGAGTCGCGAGACCACCACGGATGGGGCCCAATAGAGATGATTCCGATACGGAGCCGCGGAGAGCTTAACGGGTTGCCGGGGCTCCGGCTCGAAGGGCAGGAGTAGGAATGGCGTTGTTTTTAGTCAGTAAGAGTCTGACACTCCCTCCCGCCTCACCTAGGCGGGAGAAGTAATTCGATGAATTCTCCCCTTAAAAAAAAAACTAATTTTGCGATAGTCAAGTTGGTTAGACCAGAGAGAAGGTTAGCAATTATACTGTTATCAACAAATGCGTTGGCGTAAAACAACGGTTCAGATTTAATACGCAATTGTTAGCTTATCAGTGTTATCAGAGCACATTGCACTTCACTCAGCCGAGAATGTTTATCTTAAGCCATTAGCAGGTTAAGCGCAGTTTAACTGGGTTTAATAAATACTTGATAAAATCCTAATGAGATATCGATTTAAGTAAATGGCACGGAGTCTGGTATTTCGCTAGGTGGATACATAATAAGTTTACGTTCAAGGACTTTTGATGAGGACAGGATGGTGACTTTAAAACTGGTTTACTCAGAAGACCTGGTGTCCCCTTATAGGTGCTGATGGTGACCTGCCTCCTAAGTTTTTAAGTCTCAGAGAGCCATGCTTCGGCACAAATGGGCCGGCTCGACTCACAGAAAAACTGACGTGAAACAACGCTTGCGTTGTGTTTCGTCATGTGAGTGAGGTTACCGGAGGCCCAATTACCCCCCCCCCCTTCCCTCCCCAATCTCTCCAATTCCTGAATCCCTAACAATCCTCGAATTCCTAATCCCCAAAAGGTCGGCAACGCACTTGTAACGCCTCTGATATTCCAGGAGTCCATGGGCGACGCCGATTGCTTACCATCAGGTGATCCGTCTACTCGTTTACTGGCTTATCACATAAAAAGAGTCTTTCGGTTTTCTTACATACGTTACACAATAAAGGAATTACGTTCTTTGAAGGCTTGTCCTATTTCTAGTTTCCAAATCTTTATGACGTAATTTAAAACCTTGAGTAAACACAATACTATTGCCAAATGCCAACCCTTTTTGGAAATAGAGGAGTAATGTATGCGTATATCTGTCTCCATTTATTTATACTAGTACCAGCTGACCTGGCAAACTTCTTAGCGCCTAAAACAATGTTTCTCACCTACTAAACCTTCCCTGGACTTCCACGAACGTTTGAAGACCAAAATTAGCCAAATCGGTCTAGCCGTTTTCTAGTTTTAGCGAGACTAACGAACGAAAATTCATTTTTATTTATATAGATTATAGAGGACACATTTTTAGTTTGTTTATTTGGATTTAATGAGTCTACCGCCAACCTCAGGGCAGTTTGGGGAAAAGAGGTTGAGGTAATCAATGCTTATTACTTTCCGTGTAAGAAGATATCTTTCCTCAAGAGTAGAACAGTAAGCTAATTTGTTTATATTCCTACAGGATCTTGACCTAACTATTCTAGACAAACCTAAATTCTAAACAAGCGAGCGAAGTCACAAGCGTAAACTTAGTTGACACAGATGATTTCATTCGGGATATTACCAATTCATTTATTTAAAGTCATTGTTTAACTATGAATCGATGAAGGTAAGCAACGCCCCTTGCGGTTTAAAAGCGGATGGATGACTAGTTACTGGAAACTATGTACCTTTTAATTCTATTGACATTTTTTGGTGTAAAAAAGATGGATAATTTTTAAGTGTGGGAGAGCCATGCTTCGGCATGAATGGGCCGGCTCGAACGGAGTGATACCACGGCCTCACAAAAAAACGACGAAAAGCAACGCTTACGTTGTGTTTCGTCGTGTGAGTAGGGTTACCGGAGAAAACTAGTAAAATATTAAGATACTATGTGGACAGACGACCTGACAGAGTTCGCTTCCAACCAGCCTATCTGGAAGTCATTAGGGGAGGCCTATGTTCAGCAGTGGACGTCCTATGGTTGACATATATTTATTTATTTAAATAAGTATACCAACAGCTTCTGTATACATAGTATATCATGATGATGACATTTTATCGCGTCATTTAAGGGACGTCATTCAACCTTTTGATTAAGGGACGACCCTGTAACCACGGCCACTGTAACCTGTGACTGCACGGTTGGTGCGGTGGCTGGGCAACTAGCTGCCGTGCAACGTGTCGCGGGTTCGATTCCCGCACGGAACAACACTTTGTGTGATCCACAAATTGTTGTTTCGGGTCTGGGTGTCATTATGTATGTGAACTTGTATGTTTGTAAACGCAACAACGACACAGGATAAAATCCTAGTGTGGGACAACGTTCATATTAAAAAAAAACACCGGACCACTGTAATTGTTTACCTAATATCGTTAGGTAATATTATTTACCATGAATTTCCACAAAAGAAAACTTTGTGTTCTGTGTACAATATTCTTCATCAATCAAATAGGCGATCAATCATTTTGAGCTGGCACTTGATGGAGTTGGGGACTTTATAGGGTAAGGAGGGTACTGAGTGACGTGGCTTCGATTCTTAGGCTAAATATTGATGTGTTAGCAATAGTAATATGAGTTGACAGTTGGTTGAGTGGTAGCAAGAGCAAATCCTGAACAAGGGGATTTAGGGTTCGAATATGGAGATGGACAGAGTATTATTGTCTTTTTTCTGTAATTCTCAGCAGTTAGTTGCAATTAACTAATTAAATGTCGTGGTGGCCCGGAGGTTTAAGACGCCCACTTCTCATGCATGAGGGTGCGGGTTCGAAACCTACCAACGGCAAGTACCAATGTGACTTTTTCCGAGTTATATGTACTTTCTAAGATTATTTAGACACCACTGACAAACGGTGAAGGAAAAACATCGTGAGGAAACCTGGACTTATAATTTCTAATTATAAGTTTGAAATCGCCAACCCGCATTGAGCAAGCGTGGTGATTAATGCTCTAACCTTCTCCGTGTGAGAAGAGGCTTTGCTCAGCAGTGGGCATTTATGATGATGATGATGATGAGTTGCAATTAACAACTCCAGAATTGCACGGAGATGGCATGCTTCGTCTCCACTAATGACGTAAGTTGTACAATTTTTATTTTATTCCTTTGGCTTCTGTTAAGAGGTTTTCAGTGCGGGTTCTGTTCCAAACGTTCGACTGCACAGTTAGTGCGGTGGCTGGGCAACCGGCTGCCGTGCAACGTGTCGCGGGTTCGATTCCCGCACGGAACAAAACTTTGTGTGATCCACAAATTGTTGTTTCGGGTCCGGGTGTCATGTGTATGTGAACTTGTATGTTTGTAAACGCACCCACGACACAGGAGAAAATCCTAATGAGGGCAAAGTTTAATAAAAAAAAAAAATATGTGGCGTCGACACACCCATTACATGTTAAGTCATAGCTGTTAAAAAGTGCCCCGAATCTCATGTCTATCAAAGATATTTTCAAAAATTAAAAAAATCGAACAATACTATTGCTCAACAATCAACACGGATACCTTCTTCACCTAACTCTTTCTAAAATCATCCCTTAGCCTAGTAAAGCGACAGTTTATATTTAAAAATAATTTACCTGTACAATATGAATACAGCCTCGAGCTCTCCAATGCAGCTCCACCTCGCGTCTAGCCTTCGTGTTGTCATGTAGCACCTTCAGCGCACGCTTAGCTCCAGTCGACTTCTCTTTGCATTCCACTACCTGTAACAGAGACAAAAATAACACGTTAGAAATGAGGAAACCTGAACTATGAATATGTATAGTCAACTGTGCGGACAACTGCAAGAGCCATCAGACTATAATAGATAGATGGGGCTCCATAGGACTGAAGCTCGACCCGGAGCTGCAGATGACCTAGCGGGCTAATTTTTTTTTTAAGGGGGAAAGTCATCGAATGACTGCTCCCGCCTGGGTGAGGCTGAAGGGAGTGTCAGACTCTTTCTGACTAAAAACCACCCCGTTCTTTCTCCTGCACGTCGAGCCGGAGCCCCGGTTACCCGTTAGGTTCTCCGCGACTCCGAATCGGCATCGGCCCTATTGGGCCCCATCTGTGGTGGTCTGACGGCTCTTTGAGGCGCGCGCGGAACGCGACGCGCCGTACGCTCGGGGACCTAGCGGGCTACCGCGGATTGAACTCGCAGCAGGAGTAGGAACGGGGTGGTTTTTAGTTAGTAAGAGTCTGCACGGTTGCCGCGGCTGGGCAACCTACTGCGTGCGTGTAGCGGTTTCGATTCCCGCGAGCAACTCTTACATGATCCACAAATTGTTTCGGTCTGGGTGTCATGTGTATGTGAACTTGTATGTTTGTAAACGGACCCACGACACAGGAGAAAATCTTAGTGTGGGGCAAAGTTTTATAAAAAAAACTCCATCCCGCCTCACTCAAGGCATTTGATAATTCCCCCCTCACTCGAAATAGTCGACAATCTTCTGCTAGATATTTAGCTCACTTTCAACATCAACACCAGCATCCTGGTGACAGTCTACTGTCAGACTATGGACCACCTCTAGATAAAAGGGGTTTGTCATAATCTCCTCGCTCGGCAGGCGGGTTGAAGATAGGAATTTAGAATTAGGTTCATCAGAGAATGCTGAAGGTCAGTCTCTGTTAAGTAATTATGTAGTCTTTTTGGTTCTTGCTTACGAAACCCACGGGAAGAGCAGAAGTGGAGACAGATTGAATACATACAGCAGAGAAGAATTTTTCTGCTGTTAGCCTGTCACCATATAGTTTTCTTGAACCTCACGTTTTGACATCATAGTGATAATATTTACCTACAGATCACAGATCAAAAGTGGACGACCCACCTTCGCATTTTAAGATGATCTCACATCTTTGGATTATATAAGATAATAAATATACGCCAACGCTAACATTTTTGGCACATGACATGAATATAATGCGACAAACTTGACCTAGTTTTAGTGTGCAAACTTTCTTTTACGGACTGTGACGTCACAGTTAATGCATAAACACTATAAACCCATTGTAACTGTTAAAACAGACCCGTGTTATCCCTACAGAAAAGTGCCTAGGGAGAAATGTTTTTTTTTAATAAATAATAAATTGAATTTCTCTATTGTCATATTACAAGTACATAATTTTCATGGTCAAATATTTTTTTTTTATAAAGATCTTACATGCTACGCCTACCACTATCACTACACACAATACTTTATGTTGTTAGGTACCTAATTATTATAGTCTTATTATCTTACACTAACCCTACTGAATCAGCCCACCAGTGCGATAGCGAGCCGACCTGTTCCAGCAGAAGGCACCCGTTCACGGGTATGACGTGTAGGCCAGCAATCGGTCCGAAGGGAGCAATGCTACAGACCCCTCTGATTCTCCTGAGACACGCGCGTCTCGCGCCCAATTGATCTTAGAGTGGTGGCGCCAACAAATGAGGTGCTTGCCTAAGGTGATCTAAGTTTAATCTACCTCCAGGAGTAGTTACTCAATAGGGATACATTTAAAAAACCTATGACGTAAGTCTCTTTTAATTGTGAGAGAGCCATGCTTCGGCACGAATTGTCGAGCTCCGAGTAATACCACGGCCTCAAAGAAAATCGACGCATCGTCGGCCACATCATCGCTTACTATCAGCTGAGATGGTGGCCAAACTATCAAGTATATTTAAGTATGGGAGAGCCATGCTTCGGCACGAATGGGCCGGGTAGACCGGAGTGATACCACGGCCTCACAGAAGACCGACGTGAAACAACGCTTGCGTTGTGTTTCGTCGTGTGAGTGAGGTTACCGGAGGCCTAATTATAGTCCTCATTATTCAGCTCCTGTTAGGGCCCAACCCTAAAAATAGAGCATCACATATATATTACTAGCGACCCGCCCCGGCTCCGCACGGGTGCAATATGCATACGTATTATACATATAAATCTTCCGTAAGAATCACTCTATCTATTAAAAAAAACCGCATCAAAATCCGTTGCGTAGTTGTAAAGATCTAAGCATACATAGAGACAAACAGACGGCGGGTAGTGACTTTGTTTTATTAACTAAAACCTCATCGTCATGAGGAAGAACCCCTCTGTGGTTCGAAACTAGTAGAGCTTTTTCACGTGAGTAACCCGCGATTTTAGTTAATTTAGTATGTTTCACGATAGTTATTATAAAAACTTTGTTTTATACTATGTAGTAATGATTGTGCAATATTGCACCTGGTATGCAAGCGAAGAGGTTAACAGCACTCCGCAACTAACCTTTTTTTCATATCTCCCACGAAGTCTTATACGCTTTTTGAGGTCGCCCTTAAAATCCCTAAATACATATATAAGTAAAATTTTCATATTTGTTTAGGACTGAAAAGTAAAAATATTGTGACAATGTCTATATTTACCTCTGCTCATTCCCTAGGGGAATAACAGGCGTGATTTTACGTTTATCTCGTTATCTCTATTTGTATTTCAAAATCAAATATCAATAGAATACTTACCTATGTATTGTTATTTTATTTTTAATAGAACTTTATACGTGAAATATTAAAATAAGTTAATGTATATAAATGCTGCCTGACTGCCGACTGCCTCGTTGGCCGAGTGATCGTAAGTGCGACTGCCGGGCAAGGGGTCTCTGGTTCGATTCCCGGGTCGGCAAAGTATTACTGGGTTTTTCATATTCTCAGTAGTAGCACGGAGTCTGGAATAGTGCCCGGTATATGGCAATAGGCTCACCCCCTATTACATGGGACTCATAACATAAATAGTGAAAAGTGGGTGTTACATTGTACAGTGGTATAATGTGCACCTCTGCCTACCCCTTCGGGGATAAAAGGCGTGATGTTATGATATGTTATGTATATAAATATGGACAATTTAAAACGAACTAAAAGTAGTGAAGAAAATAAAATAAAAGAAAACTAAAAACGACTGTTTACCTACGTTTTTATGATAACTATTGAGAATCATGCAGCACCCAATGTACACTTTGTGTAGGAAGCCGAAATTAATAGAGACATATTTTTTATTAACAAATCAATCAGACAATTACAGCGATTTAAAATGATCTGATAGACTAGTAAATTTATTTGTCATTTCTTCAAAGATAAGTCTATATTCTAATCTAAAGTCTACGTAATAATATGTATGACACAATATTTCACAATGACGCACAAGTGTTGTTCAATGATGACATTACAATTTTGTAACGTCACGTTTTTGTGTTTCCCGAAGAATGCACATTTGTATCGACGAAATAAATCTGAAACGTTTTTTTTTTCTTTATGGAATAAGCCGGTAAACGATCTGACGGATCAACTGATGGTAAGCAATCGGAGTCGCCCATTGACGCCTAGAAAACCAGAGGTGTTACAAATGCGTTACCGACCTTTTGGGGATTCTTCATCATCAAAAAAACTCAAAACTAGAATGCAATACTCGACCCCAAATCGAACTTGAAATCTTGTGACTAGTCGATAAGACGATCCGTAGTAAACAAGAAATGACGTGTATTTATTATTTGGTTTAAAATACAAATAATGATAAATGCTAACTGCACAAAGGAACTCGGGAAAACAACATTGCAGTAAGCTATGAAGAGACCGCATAATATTATTTTATGACGCAGTTGAGAATGTGAGATACAAATTAAATAGGTACTAGGTATTTCTACTGATCGATGGACGTATTAACGTCTGCATGTTTTACATTCTATGCTATAAAAAATGGTCATCTAAAACGCAAAAAATATACTTCATGTTTAATAGGCTTTAATGAGCTCTATTCTACTAATCAACGCCTTTCGTTTGTGACAGGAACTTCTTTCATAATGGGGTAAATCCTTACTAATATTATCCTTACTAATATTATAAATCAGAAAGTGAGTTTGTTTGTTTGTTTGTTCCGACTTCACGCCGTAACTACTAAACCGATTGCTTTGAATTTTTGCAGACGTAAAGTTAGAAGTCCGGATTAAATAATAGGGTACTTTTTATCGCAGAAAAATTTGATATTCCCGAAGGAAAACAATAGTATACCATAGATGGCGCTGTGTGTATTGGTATATGTCAATTAGGCTACTTTTTATCCTTTTGTGACGCGAGCGAAGCCGCGGGTAAAAGCTAGTGTGGAAATATTCCATTATACTAGAATCTGCCAACTGCTTTGCCCGCGTTCACGTGGGATTAATCGTGTTATTGCAGACTATAGTCTACCGATCTTCACCCGTTTTGGCGTAAAGGAGCTACAAACACACACAGATATACATCCTCACAACTTTTTCATTTATATAATAATAATAACAAACAAAAAATCAAAACTAAATAGCAAAAATTAAGTATTATTAGTTCTGATAGGTTAGAAAGCGGTAATATACGCTCATATCATAATGATATACATAACTGAATGTGTATTTCTAGGGTTCCATCATCAGATCCTGACCTCATGAAAATGGGACCATTTCGGGAGTATACCCTTTCAAACAAAACAAGAATTTTGGAAATCGGTTCACAAATGGAGGAGTAATAGGCGAACAAAAAAAAAGAATCAGCAGAACATAGCACCTCCTCCCTTTTTTGAAGTCGGTAAAAAATTGTAGAATTGGAAGTAGGATTGTATGGTCAGCAAAATTAAGAGTAACTATGTACTAAATACCAGATTTCCTGACTATGACTCTCGTAAGGAAGGGGGTGAAATTGTAATTATTAAAGACCCAAACAAACATCATTTAAAAACAGCGACCATTACCATTACACACAGACAGTACAGACACACACATGCTATGCTAGACTGTTATATTATATCAATTATTGAATGATTAAAGCAATTATTTCATTGACTGGACATGGTGGCGACAAATAAGATCAGACACGTGCGTCTACACATGAGTGATTCTGATTACAATGTATAATATAAACTATAGTTAATACAGATTTTAAATTATTATGTTTTCGGCTTACTCACGTAATAAGTAATTTGACGAGGTTCGAAACTAGTAGAGCTTTTCTCAATTTCAAGTGAGTGATTTTAGTTAATCCTCAAATGCCTCAAAAGGCCGGGTAACGCACTTGTAACGTTTCCGGTGTTTCGGGTGTCCATGGGCGACGCCGATAGCTTACCATCAGGCGGACCGTCTGCTCGTACACCGACTTATTTCATAAAAAAGGATACTTACGACTTACGACCATTTCTTCTTACGTTAAATTAGGTAGAGTACCTTAGCTCCAAATACGCCTAATTAATATTAAGTATGGGTCAGTTATGGGTCGACAGAATCCAGAAAATTGTATTCCAAAAATATACAGCTTCTCGAAGGGTCTTTATATGAAACCTTTTTATGAAAACCAGTGAATTTTCATTGATTACACTTTGAAGGATTAATTTATTTAACATTTTATAATTATTTAATCCAATGATCAAAACGGGTTCATCTCTTTTGATATTTAACCCTTTGAGTACCGTCATTATAGACACAATTAAAGAACAATAGGTTGCGGTCATCGGTGTCCTTGGG